GGCACACCTGTGTTTAGGGGTAGGTACAGGAGGTGCGTCGCTCCCCTTTTGGGGAATATTTTATTTTGGGGCTTCCTGTAAAGTGCATTACAGTCCATTTCAAGCAATAAGGAAAAAACATTTAGCCATGAGGATTACACCTTGATTTTAACCACATTTGAGCCATGCTGGTTTTTATAGAACAGTTATTGCTTCTACATGTATCATGTAAGAGCTATGTTCCCATATACATTGTTAAATTGCCCCAGTTACTTATCTTTCTAGCAGTCGTGGTAAACTTTGAGTAATATATAACTTTTGTTGACCTGTAGAGAAACATTCAGATCATGTACGCCTTCTTAATCAAATGAGCATGGATGAGCGTCGGTGGAAAAGAGCAGATATAAATCAAGACAAAAAACTATCAAAGGAAGAATATGGTCCATTTTATCAGCCCTGGGAGCATGAGCACATGCATGATGTGGTTGCACAGGAAAACGTCGAAGGCATGGATAAAGACAAAGATGGACGTGTGTCACTTCAGGAGTACCTAGGTTAATATTTTTTGTACCTTTAAGGTTTTAGGTAACCAAAATACCAACAAAGGAGTACTTATGAAAGTGGAAATGATACTCGCAGTTGAGTCATTTCCACCATTGGGTATATTAAGAACTCACTCTCAAGTTGGCTTGATATAGCTTAATGGATATACAGTGCCGTTCAAAAGTAAGTTACCACCCTTTCTCAAGATGCAAATCGCGTCCCGCAGGACACGATTGTCATAGCGCGTGATGGCCTAAAAACTGAGTGTTTTGAATCATTGGTTGCCTTGTGGCCTCAATCGGTGTACTTTCTAGCTTTCTATTACAGTCGAACCTCTGGACTGGTGTAACCACCTCTTGTAAGCAACCACCTAGCATAAGGGACCGCCAATCCAAATCACCAAAATTTTCCCTGTCAAAGCCTTACATTTGGAACCTCTGGTAAATGACCACCTCCTGTAAGCAACCACAGCCACTTTTTGGGCCTGACAGTGAATGATTTTCCATTGTTTTTAACCTCTTGTAAGCCACCACTTTGCATATTCACTGATATCTATTTTCGCTGTGTGCGCTATGACAACATGGAACTATATATATTCTAACTTGGACATTGCATGCTATAAATTATCTTCTATAAAGTAGATGTGCCTGGACCTCTTCTCGGAAGAGACCACCTGTGGTTCGATTCTTGTAAACGACCATTCAGTCTTTGCGTTTTGGGTGGTGGCTTACAGGAGGTTTGACTGTACGATGTGATAAGTCTAAATATGTTTCTTTTATGTTTTAGATGACATGCATTCAAAGCCAGAAAAGGAAATGACAGAAGAAGAACTCCAGAAGAAGGAGAATGATAGAAAACATTTTCATTCATACCGTGATGCAAACAAAGATGGCTACATTGATAGGGTAATGAAATGACTCCATTCTGTAATTTTGATATCAACTATCCACCCATGAAACAAAAGGNAGAAAAGGAAATGACAGAAGAAGAACTCCAGAAGAAGGAGAATGATAGAAAACATTTTCATTCATACCGTGATGCAAACAAAGATGGCTACATTGATAGGGTAATGAAATGACTCCATTCTGTAATTTTGATATCAACTATCCACCCATGAAACAAAAGGGATGCTGTCACTTAGTTTGTGCAGGGATGAAATTTGCCCAGCAATTTTCCAGACCTGGAAAAAGTCTGGAAACTGGAGATTAAGTCTGGAAAAATGGTTAAAAGTCTTGAGTTTTTTTTGACGCGACATCAAGTGCTTTATAAGTGAAATTTTGTTCATTTTGGTCAAATCTCTAATTCATTCTTGCCTGTTTGTGTGCAGCGCATCATGAAAGGCTTTGTTCCTGCGTTTTTTTAAGGTCGTTATTGATCACCTATTCGATAACCTTAGTCTGGAAAAAGAAATAATTGTTTATTATTTTAATGGAAAAAAGTCTGGAACGTCTTGAATTTTGGATCCAAAAATCTTTACGAATGCTGTTTGTGTGAGGAAGCTAGAAGTGGTCTCAGAACTAAAAACATATCGCATAATGCAAATTGTAACAATCCTTTATTAAAAGTTAATGCTGTGAGTCAATCAAAACCACATAATTCTGATGATCAGTATGTGTAAAAAAAACAATGGTTAATTATTTATTTTCAAACAGGATGAAATGAAAGAATGGATGTTTCCTACTTCCTACAACTATCTCCAAGCAGAAGCCAGTCATCTCATTCATCATGCTGATTCTAATCAGGTACAGTTTTACATACATTATTTGAAATTATTTAAACTCATCAGGTGTCGTGTATTCATTAGTGAACTTACGCAACAGGAAGGAAGAGGAAAGAAGATGGCAAACCTTGTGCGACAAGCGTGACAGTAATAATTTGTTTGAAATAACTTTTCACCAAACTTCACTCTCCTTTAAAAAGTTCTTTTTGTAAAAGGCCAGAATACATTAATGTTGGGTGAAGTTCATGACGAAACACGCAAGTAATAGCCTGTCACATTATTTTGTCATGCACGAGTGTTTTGCCGTCCTCTTCTTCCTGCCGTCCTGTTGTGTAAACTCACTATTAATTCATTGATTGTCCCTTCAGTTTCATCTCTGTGCCACTTCGTCCTGTCAATCCTATGAGTGCCCAACATCTAATTCTTTTTATATCAACATAATGATCAAACATGCCATCATCATCACCAAATGGTGGAGGAGGGCAATGTCAGGTGGTGGACAAAACACTGCGCCCCAGTCCATGGACTACCCGTATGGACTACCCTAAAATGGACTACACCACTGTAGTTTAGTGGTCAGGGCTAGGAAACAGAGTAAATCAGGCGTGAGGTCAGTTTTCCAAGTATAGTGACCCTAAGTGGAGCTTGATTCACTCAGTTTCCCTAACCCTTATCTCTTAACTTTGATCAGCAACGTAGTCCGAAAATAAACTGCATGCCAATCACGAGACTCATTTGCATACAATGAAAGTCGTGACAATTCTTATCCCCAGTTTCCATGCATGGTCTCCACTAGGAGGAACACCTGGGACCATGACCACTATTTGGGGCCAACACAGGAAAAAAAAAAAAAAACGCTTCCATTTTCTGAGTCTCGCCTCTAAATTAAAGCAAGCAAGACTAAATACACACAAACTTGCATCTAGTGTTTAATTGCAAAGTAACTACATAATTTATTCATTTACTATACATATCTTTATGTTTTTGTATTTCAGGATAAGGTTTTGGCAAAGGACGAAATCCTGGACAAGTATAGTCTTTTTGTGGGAAGCAGGGCCACTAATTTTGGTGCAGATCTGACACGACATGATGAGTTCTAAAAAGCAAAAGTGAAACAAATTGTTGCCATTTTTTATGCAAGATGTGTTCTTACAAGTGGTATTGTATGAGCAGTATTTTTGTCAAAATTATACAGGTTTTATTTCATGGTTTATATTTTTATACAGGTACATAAAAGCTGAAATGTGAAAGATAATTAAATCTGAATTTGTTTACTAGCTCCAGAAGGTGATTTCATGACTTAATGAATTTTGCAATAAAATGCTGAAAAAACCGTCCAAGCTTCATCTGTTTTTGGCCTTGTCGATTTACTTTAGAAAGAAAGGGAGTTCCAATTATTTTGCGAGCCCAGATGCAGGGCAGGGTTGTTCAAATTCGTTAAGGTAACCCAGGGTTAGGGAGAAATTTGAACTCATGTAGATATAAAGCTTTAAAAACAAATTCATTCTTGTTCTTTTTGTTTACAATTTGATGATTGGATATACTAAAAAGAATAGCCAAAATTATCTGGGGAAATACCTTTGAACAAAAGAAAAAAGAAACTTGGATTAAAATTTAACCCCAGGTTAGTGCTAATCAGCCTTCAAACAACTGGGCCCTGGTCTGCTAAACAGATAATAAACAATAATATTGGATGAGGTTTTTGTGCTTTCCAGAATAACCAAGGTAGATGTAAGTATTATTAGCCTAGGCCGAGGCTGATAATGCTTACTGAGACCTTGATTATCCAGGATATCACAAAAAAGCGTATTTAATAATTGTTTTATTATAATAAATCTGCAAGGAACCTGAATTGATTCGATACAATTGTTATTAGAAATCATGCATTGCGCTCTCAACCTACAGATTAGTCAGCTATCTAATCTGCTAGGAGGTAACTAACTAATCTGTAGGATACGCTGATTTCCAAAATTAGCTGTAGGCTCTTAGCCAATGAGAAGACAGATATGAGTACAATGTATGTTAAGCTGTGTTAACCAGAGGCGTCCAAGGGAGGGTTCAATATTGTTACCAGTACAGTAAGTTATAACATTGCCCGGAAACACTCATGACGGCTTTAGCTCGCTGACCTTCTGTCGAGAGATTAAGAAGTGAAAATCCTAGGATAAAGCGTGAAGAAATTACCGTAAAACCCCACGTTAATGCCCTGGGCATATATAACTTTATAAGGGGTTTTGGGTGGGCTTATAAACGGGGGGGGGGAGGGTATAAGCTGAATAACAATCTTTGTTAGCAGATGGATGGGCTTATATCTGGGGGTGCTTAAAACCGGGGGGAGCTTTAACGTGCATTTTCGCTATTGTACACTTGTCGTGCGCGTGTCTTGCCTTAATTGCCGCAGAAATGACCAATTTCCATTTATTATCTTATTCACCCACCTTTGGAGCCAACTGTAAATAATTTCCTCCCTTCCTTACCCTAAAGCAAAAAGGCTTTAAATTCAGGAGCTGAGTTTAGGCAGAGACGTTCAGCATGAACTAGGGAATGTGCTATTCATTCATGGCACCTCCGTTGTGAACACTTGACAAAGGATATGCCACTGCTATGAACAGCCTCTTCCCCCACCCTGTTAATATGCTTTCAAATGATTTATTATCCACTTAACAAGGACGCTTTTCTACCGGAGGCATCGACCATGTGTTAACCAAGTTGTGCTGTGGTGTAGCTATGAACAAATACACTGCTAAGGCGACGTCCACTCTAGCACAAAAACGTTGGTTTTCATATTTTATTATTCCTCTTTACACCTGCACAGAGTGTTAACTAGACACACCCTTCTGAAGGTGGTTAATAAATTAATTCCTTTTTCTGTCATTTTTTTATTATTATTATTATTAAACATTGCAACTATATACAAAGCATGTTCATTTTGTTCTTTCAGTTAGAAATTAAATAATCTTCAAATATCCGCCCATTGTAGATGTACCACGTATCGCAATTTAACAACTTCAAGAAAAGGCCGGCCGAAAGCTCTCGGAACAGCTAACCGGATTGGATGAGAAAACAGTAAACAACAGAAGCAATGGACCCTGAAACGAGGGAGTCTCGTGCTGGGAAAAACAAATGAAACTGGAGGTTGGAATTTGGCGGGATTTCCAGCCGCTGTTCAGGAAACGAGCCCGCCCTCCTCCCCGTCTCTTCTCAGGGGGGGACCGGAGACAGCGGCGCAGATCGAGCCCACGTGACGGCAACCAAAAAAGAGACAAAGCTAAAGATTAAATACTTAGAGGGCTTAGAAAATTTATTGTATACACAATTGGTCACACAATGATCAACCTCTGCCCTCTGAAGTGTTTGATGTCACTCTTCCTCAGGGTTCTTTCACATCTCAATTAACTTCCGAACTTCCGGAATCCCTTTGTCTATATCGATGTCAGCCTGCAACTTCTTCCCAGTTTCCGTCTTGCTCTTGTTGGCTTCGTTTTAGTACTTGGCGATTGTTCTGTATTGCTAATGTCCAGTTGCTTTCTGCCAACAGAGTCAGTAGAATATATAGTCAATTGTAATTCATAATTCGTAACTCCGAATGCTTGCGCGTGCGTTGCCGTTGTTGTTTTACTTAAAGACTCCTTAAAAAGGGACGCCAGGAGGCTAGTTAGACTTTACGCATTCGCGCCACCAGAGCTCTTCTCTCTGTGCATGACTAAGGAAAACCCGGAACTTCTAACCTCGTTCCCAGGGTCCTCTCCTACTCGTCCTACCCACTCTTTCCTTCTCTCGCTCCGGAGCACAAGTAGGAGAGGACCCTGGGAACGCAGTTGCGGAGCTTCTGTCGAGTCATGAGCAGCCATAAGACCCTGGCGACGAGGCTCTGGTGACAAGAAGGGACGATACAAAGCACTTCACAGGTTGTCCTTTATGACTGAATAGGAAATGGTCGTTTTCTGTCCACATGAGACAAGATAACATGTAGCCTATGGAGCAAACGTTCCCAATCGAGTTATTACGCCAACGTTGGAGCAAGAGCAAAAGAAATGGAAGATCGAAGAGGGTGAGGAAGCAGAAAAGAGTACTCTCAACCCCACTTTCTCGACGAACTCGCGCGGAAACGTTTGATACGCAGGCTAGATAAAATGCCAAGGACGAAATATCTGAAAGTGACTTTGGCTAAAAGACGAAGAAACTCTTACGCAAAGTGCGGGAAGACATGGTCCACTGACAATGCCATACGAAAAGCTTACTGGTGTTGCCGTTAACGTTAAACTGCTTTAATAATCCAGCAAGAGAAGATAATATTTCGAATCTTCGAAAGTCACTCTCTTTAGATTAACTCATACCGAGAAGATCTTGTGTTTCCCTCTTGCAAATTTTGAGGGTCTTACCACACTCGATATTAATTACTGCGATTACTAACTGCACCGGTAGTGCAGTCTGTACCATGTTCCCAGGCGGCACCATCGCGCGGAAAAAAAGAGCGCGGGGCACCATGGGAAAGATACAGTGGTTAGTACTGCCTGTACTTAATGCCTGTACCACCTATAAGCTTTTTCCAGACCCTCGCTTATTTTGCTCGTCCCAGCTAACAGAGAGCCTAAGAAAGGCTATAATTATTGAGAGGGTAAGAGTAAATATTGCTTACAATTGAGCGATATCGTTGTCTGTCGGACTGTATCCATTTTTCCTCCTTCTTATATTTCGGTTCTGCCGACTGATGTTGAGGTTTATGATCATTGTAACTAGCTCTTCTTTCTGATGAGAAAGGAGATAGAATGAATAATAGAATTGAATTATGCACCAAATTGCACTGAAGTATTAAAGGCTGTAGAGTTTATCTGCCGGAAGCGTCCAGACTTTATTTCCATCCCCAGAGCCTGTCGTCTGTTTTTTATGGGCTTGGTGTTTCAGCAACAACGGACGCCCGTGACGACAGCAAAAACCTCACTAATAAAACTCGCTCAATGTGTCAAATTTACGTGCATTTTCCTGCAATCTAATTCTGGAGACAGCACCCAAGTTAAGATTAGATTGTAATAGATTCATCCATAGATTGTAGCATTAGGGAATTTCGGCTCTCAATCACGCCAGGGAGCATATAGAAATGAATCAATTGGTCAGATCAGGAGCACCCAACGTCAATTTTCCGAAAATATCTGTTCGGAAGACGATTTGAGATCTAGAATTTTCGGAACATTTTTTGTAAAATTCTTGCTTGCTTACCTCTCCTAGGATTTTCGAACGTCTAAAAAAAGAAGAAGAAGAGTTTTTAGCGTCCTTAACAACTGGCGCGGAGCCATATCCGAGTATCCGAGTTCCAAAAATTCTCACTTTCAAAACGAGGGTAACTAATTGCAAAACTTCTCTTGTGAAAATGAGTTTTTTTTTTGCGTTAGAATAAAAATCATTTCCATATCAATAGCTTCGCAGTAGTCTTGCTTTGAAACAGAGGCTTGGGACAACTCTATGCCAGCCACAGGCCAGAAGAATCGTCGATACAGAAAGTACTTACAGACTTATCCATGAGGCTGTCGTAATCCTTTGTGTCTTTTGCGATAATTTGAAGACAAGTCGGACATGTTTCCGCCTCCGAATCCAAAGTTTCTGATTCTTTGAACCGCACTTTTTGTCGTTCTTTCCTCAAAGTGTCGCAGTCACTTGAAGCATCCAGAGATGTTTTGGATCGTTTTCGTAAGGGACTGGCTAAAATATCTTCTTTCTTTCTTTCATTTAGTAGTTCATTGTATGCGCATTTCCATTCTGTCTTTGGTTGACGGGATAGTATTCCCCTGAAACACGAAATTCAAAAATCATAAGTTATAAACGCGTTCATTCGATTGTCCATCGGGGTCTTCTTATATTCCTTTCGGTATTTTAAGATTTCTTCGGAGACTTTTTATGGTGGGTCAAATCTTAGTAAAACCAGTGGTGGATTCAGCCCACCTACCCCTCCTCTAAGCCAACATCAACACTTACTTCTCACTAAAGCAAAATGCTGGCTTAGGGGAGGGGTAGGTGGGCAATTTCCCAGGAACTTATAATAATTCCAAGTAAGTGGGAGCCCACTCATCCAGACCCTAAGATAAGGGGGCGTGACCTGGAAATTAATCTGATTTCTAGGCGCAAGTGCTATCCGGTAAATATAGCCCCAGTTTGGCCTAAAGGACGGGCCCAGGTCTCTCTTCTAGACTCGCTAAAGGAGGGGCTGCAAAGGGCTGCTGGGATATTTAATCAAGCATCGTTTGACTAGAGTTTTTTTTAACAACTGACAACGGCTGACTAATAGCTAAAATATACAGCCTCAAGTTTGGTTTCCTAAGTTGGTTTCCTCAGTTACCCGCGGGGTATAATTATTATCAAAATCACCCAGTAGGCAATTACAAATTTAAAGCTTTGAACGCGGATCACGTAAGACTAATCTCGATATGTATTGACCATTAGCCTGCGACAATTCTTGCCTGCTAGCAAGCTCTCCATTCGTCTGTGTAGCGAAACGAGAGAAAGAGTCTCCATATATTTCTACGCGTGCCGCTCACCGCGCGTGACTTCTCTCGAATTCCCCAAATTGAGAGCATGCTCGCAGACTAATTGGCCATTGTCTTCATCCGAAAATATCTCAATACAAATTACCGCCGTGGCATATGAAACACCCACCCCTTTCTTTCTTTTCTTCGTTCTCTTTTCTGTTTGTTTGTCTTTTTTTTACTTTTGATTTTCGCCTACCGAATTACCTTTTCACACGCGCCTGAGGAGCATCAGCTTTGATGCTATTTTCCCGCTTCAGATATGCCTCCTTGTTATTTCCTTCAGCATCTAGTGGAAAAACAGAAATATTTGTTAGGACTTTAAGTTTTCCTATAGCAAAGATAAAACCTGACTCGTTATTCCTCGATTCAACGAGAGAAAAAAGACTCAATGGACTTTTTTTTCATCGCTAAAGCCACTCAAAATCTATACTTATAAACTGGTGAAAAAGTGACCTTCGTCACCGCAGCCTTCGTTGGAGACACTTTAAACCTCTTGTATAGACTATTCTTGGTTTGCAACCACGTAATGAGGTGGCCATGTCGGAGATCAACACAATATAATTTTTTCTCGAAGAATTTTACATAAAAATAGAGTTCAGTTTTTTCGGAGGAGAGAAATGCTTTTGACCACCAACATGGCGGCCGTGACGTCATGTGCAAACCAGCAATACTAGTTAATGGACTATACCAATGGCTTGGCCGATGCCTTGCCTGGCTGCAACGCAGGCTACGTCATCTTTGTGATGTGACAACAAAGAACATTCATTCATGAACATTCAAGATGCTTCTAAACCATTATCGAGGGTGTCGGCTTAATTGGGGCTTAATGGTAGACAAATGAGTCAACAGTCTCTTATTTTTTTCTTCTCGGGCTTACGCCCTCATTTCTCGCGGCTCGCGCACTTAGATTTCGCGTGCAGTAACTTTGAAAAGAAAAGTCAGAAAAATAAGAGACTGCTCGCACCGTAATTTTTTTCAGCATTCTCCTCACGTTTACGTCAAAATTTGTACCATGTGACCAAGGTTTCCCTTTGCTTATCGCCTACTGTTCATTATTTCTAAACATAAATTAGTAGTTTCACGCAATTTTTTACCCAAAGAATTTTCTGAGCTATTTTTATCTGCTTATTTTCTATTTTGAGAAATTCTCAACTTGAATCTGACGTTTGCCCTTTGCGGTATACGTGAAGCTTTAAAAACTCTCTAATATTGTTCGAAGAAAATATTGCATCCGGTATTTTCATAGTGAACGAAGTGAAGATGTTGGTAACTTTATTGGTCAGGTTATGCAATAGGTGCCAAAATAATGCAATATTAAAGTGCGCTTATCACTTGTATGTTTAAATGGCTGGGGATGAAATCAATTAAATTTCCTGATGTTAAAGACAGCTGTTTATTGCTTCATTTATCTTCTAGAATCACTAATCAAAAGGAAAACGCCGCCTTTTGGTCCGTTAGATTATGACCAACTCAGCATGCAGAACTTAAAAGTTGTGTTTGAGCTCACCGATAACAGTAAATTAGACCGGGGGGGTTCTCGACCAGTATTTGGGTAAAGGTGAGCCGCTGAAGCTTCGAAACCCTGAAACTGTTTAGAAAAAAACAACCTCAACTTGATTACCCTGTCGAAGTCGAAGGACAAAATACCCGCCGTCTTTGCAATTAAAATAGAGCGAATTCACGTTATAGTTGTTGCTTTTGTATACTTGGACCCCTGGACTTGGACAGGTGTACAAACAAACTTCATGAAGCAAGTCAAGTCAGTCATACAGCTAATACCCTGTTTATAGTTGGGACAGCACGCACGAAATAATACACCCTGCTTTAAGACACACTAGGGCGAAATTAAATAAGGTACCCTGTCTAGGACTGAGAGGACAAAAACCATACCATGTCCAGCGGCACATCCCCGTATAGGCCATATAAGGGAGTACCCCCACCCCTGCCCCACCGGGGAAATTAGAACGCCTTAAAAATAGATTTTAGCTATGCAAACGAAACGTGATCATCACAAAAACTGTTGATGAAATTTTAAAAAAGCAGTTTGAGTTTTGTTTAAGCCCCATAGGCAAAAAGCGAAAAATTTAGTATAAAAACCGAATTTTCCTAACTTCCTGGATGTTTTCCGTCGAAAGCTCTGAACATTTTCAATTTTTTGTAACCAGGGGCATCCTTCTGAATTATATATTTTGAATCCTGGTATCAGATCTTCTGTTTTCTAATGAATAAAATAACAAACGAAAACAATGCATTGAAATAGGCCAGCTCAGCTGATAGTCAATATCAGAGGGGGTGGTTCTGGCTGCCGTAAATAATCAGTAGGTTTAAATTTATATTGGGCAATCCTACTCCTTTCTAAGTTTGAGTCAGCTGTGTTTACCTCACCTCTTTTAAAATATATTAAATCCTTGGGCCTTCTTTCTTTTTCTTTTTCTCATCAATTTTCTGATATCGTAAACAATTCATTAAACAAACCAGCTATCTTTGAAATTTTTCATAGATGGCCGGCATCTTTCACGTTTTTAGACAGATTAGTTTAACTGATGTATCCCTTATCACAAAGCAAGCATAAGCTGTAAATCCTTTCAGGCTTTTGTCCTCGATATCAACCATCTTTTGAAAAAGCTGACGTTTGTAGTAGTAGATATTGACTTTTTTAAACATTTTACTCATACTGTGCTGTTGAAACTTTGGCACAATTTTACAACTTGTCCAAAAGGGATTAATAAAGTTATAAACTGAACAAATCGAGAGAGTACAATTTTTGTATCTCACTAAAAATGCGACAAGGTGCTCTAACCGGAAGTGTAAAACCGTAACCTCTGTGGCACGAGTTGAGCGTTCGTTTAGCCTTAAAAAAAGAAAAAATATGAGATCCGTGAAAACATCGTAGGACCTCGAAAATAGGGAGCTAATTTAAATGCGTTCTTGACTGTCGTAGGTTCTAATTAAGTTTATGGCTGCTAAATTCCTTGAAAACTGTCAAGCTGTCCACGGCTTTTACGTGTACAGTCTTGATTTATCCGGTAACTTGAGGTTTTTTACGATGAGGAATCCCGCTCCAGTCTAAAACACTCCTCTGTTCCTAAATTTGTGCCTTTTAAACCTTACTGGTTTCTATGCCGTTCTCTGTTTCGCTCTGTTCTCTCCCTAGGCTTTCGCTTTCAATCCATACTGAATCCGGTTTCGCAACTCGACTGAAAAGCGTTTAGTCGAGTTGAGCAACCGGAAAAACGTAAACGACATTGACTGTAACATGCGTAGCAGCAGGCCCAAGAAACATGGAACGTGTCTACCTCTCTCGTGCTCGTTCTTCCTTGCGCCCACTACTTCCAAGCGCTTGCTACGCAGGCTACATTGACTGATGTCAGTGTACAGTAACGGCTTACCTTGATGAAATACTAAAGCACGGAATCTGTACACTTTTTTGTTAGTTTTGTCCAAACGAACAGAACATGTATCCGCAATGGCTGAAATCATGGCGTCCTACCAAGGCAAACGCGGCTATAAATACTCCTTTTTTTAATACTTCAGTGTAGCTTGACAGGGCCTGACTGCGTGAAAGATCTGTAGACGTCCTCCACCTTCCTTGCAAGCGTTGTGAAAGAAGTAATTTGCAAGTGGCTTCAAATAAAGAGAGGATGTTAGTCGGCAGCTGAGTCGGTAATTTTTTTTTTTTTCATAGGAAGTTACTCTCATTAATGGCATTACCAAAACTATTTTTGATTATACCTCCCCGACACAGACACTGTCTGTTTATGTTTTTATAACTAATATTTCTTTCTCGACCTGAGGACAAGTTTTTCAAGGCAGTTGACAAGGCACGTGGGCTTCACAAATTCAAATAGTAAAATTTTAAACCAGCTAAAAAGGCCGCTGCCAAAACATTGCTTATTGCCCGGCGCGCAGTGAAAACTACTAAAAACTAAGACAGACCTGTTTCATCAACCTTTTAAGCCCACTTCCTTTACAACACTTGTTTCCCTCAGCTGAATCCAACCAAAGGGGAATTTTTAAGGCTTGTCACAGGTGGAAATTGTTCTTGCGTCAGTACCAGAGCATTAGCTGCTGTAATATAGAAGTGGAGTTGAATTTTGTCCAAGTCTTTGGTAACCAAGGATATTTCGTCATTGGGTTTTTTTTAATTTGATAATTAAAAAAGGAAGATAAACATACTGACGCTTCTTCGCCGTTTCTGTCAATTCTTGGCACACAGCTGTTTCTCAAGTTTTTGGTAGGTAAACAGAAAAAAGGTGAAATGAAAACTGAGTTTATAGCGATCACTGGCAGGCCTAACTGTAATAAAGTATATAAACAAGGTAAACCCTCGCTTAGAATAATCACGGGTATAAACTCTAAGTCTAGTTCAGTTCAGAGGTTCTTTAGTTTAGGGATAATTACTGGAAATTTAACCTATCGGAATAAAATATCTTGATTAAAGAGTCTCAATTTCCTCTTGTGGGAAAATGCACGAACGAAATTACGCCCAAAATTGCTACTAAGCTCACAATATTCAAATATAAATATCGCTGTAATAATATTGGTATTTGGAAATTTGTGAGTGACGGCTACTGAGGGCCACTGAGGTATAACATGATTCTAATCTCGTAATGTCACATCTTCTAAGTCAAGTCATCAAATTATCGCACGAAAGATGTAGAGACTTTAATATGTAAAGATAATTATACCACGTATCTCAGTGGAATTTACCGAGTCATTTCAAACGCGTCCTATTTGATTTTAAAATACGGCTTTTATCAGACCGGCGCCACGCCACATAGGAGTATTGAATAAACTTTTAATAACCGTCAAAAATGGCTTGGGTTATTGCTTTCTCTCATCGTGTACTGTGTACATATATTCATTCACGAAGTACATTGCTTTCCATATTAAGAATGAACTGTAATCTCTGACAAAGCACGTTCGTTGTATCGGGTTAGGTAAGGTCACATATTAAAAATCAGGTACGGCTCTAATCAAGCGGAATTGAAAAAGAATTAGTAATATACAATAATTGCGCTGCAATCCTTGTAAATTGCCCTGTGATGATTATAATGTATTCAAATTTAAACCATCCCTAGGAATTCACCGGCTTTCGTTTTGATAACATCGCCAACAAGATGTATTATAAGCGCCAAAGAACGCCCAAGTATCACCTTTTATTGTGAGGTTAAACTCAAACAACAACAGTGGGCCACAAAAGTTTGGCATCATATCAGCTAGTGATCATCTAACTTAGTATTATGAAACGGGTATCAAGGTTTT